ATGGCATAGTTATTTGATGTGATCTGTGATAATGTCACCTCAAAACTTCACACTTTTCAGGTAAGGGGCCTATCACACAGGTACGGTCTGTCACACAGAGGTGGGGTCCATCACAGAGGAGGGGTCTGTCAGAGAGGTGGGGTCCATCACACAGAGGTGGGGTCCATCACACAGAGGTGGGGTCTGTCAGAGAGGTGCAGAGCTGTCACACAGAGGTGGCAGGTGTCACACAGGTAGGGTCTGTCACAGAGGTGGGGTCTGTCACAGAGGTGGGGTCTGTCACACAGAGGTGGCAGCTGTCACACAGGGGTGGGGTCTGTCACACAGAGATGGGGTCTGTCACACAGAGGTGGGAGCTGTCACACAGAGGTGGGGTCTGTCACACAGAGATGGGAGCTGTCACACAGCTAGGGGACCTGTCACAGAGGTGGGGTCTGTCACAGAGGTGGGCTCACCTCCAATCTGAGAGAAGGCGACCTCAAAGCGACCCCTCTGTTTGGCGGCTCCCTCTGGGAAGATGAACTCTGGCTGTGTGGTGCCCAGGTACGACGGGTCAAAGTTCAGGTACGGAGAGATTTGTGACAGGCCTGGTGATGATGCCACTGAAACACAGAACACACCGCTGTGCTGATTATTCAGTCAAACAGTCAGCAGTCACCAGTGATCAGTCAGCAGTCAACACTGCTCTGATAAAAAAGTAGCAGCAAACTGGAATATGACTTCTGCAGAGAAAACCATTGTGCTCATACAGCACATTCAGCCAGCAGTGATTTTGAACTTAATAAGATAACAAGATAACTATACCAACCAAGATGCTGATGATGCAAGATGTAATATACCAAACCAAGATAGATACCAATTCATCTTTTCAGCTATGGCCTTCTGCTTTACAGATCAGAATCATCTGGACTAATGCAATGTAAAATCAGGCACCAGGTCAGGCAACAATATCAGGCTCAGTTCACAGTTCAGCATTTGTGGCTGGCTAAAGCTGAAACAACAATGACAAGCAAGTGATGCATACAAAATTTGACTTGGAGCCAAACTGCTAAAAAACAAACTTTGCCTGAACTGAAAATGACATGTTTTGTACAGTTATAAAAGGAATAATAAAAGGAATATTTATAGCACACATGTCCATAACAGGTACCTATCTGTTTTAATCAATGGTTACCTATTATTTATAGGACACCAGTGAAAACGGGGCGCCGGAGAGCATATTTGGTCACGTGACTAATGAGAAGTTCTCCCCCTCCCAATGCCTTCTACACAGTGATTGTCATGTGGTTTGTGCAAGTGAATTTCAAGAGCTTTGATCAAATCGCCCAGGGCGCCCTGTTTTCACGGTCATCCCATTTATACACGGGCGTCACTTTCCAAAAATTATTGGCAGGGCTCCAGCTCTGATAGTTAATCTTAGGATACCAGTGCCATTCTTACCACACAATGCCATAAATTATTATGTTTAAATTATGAAATTATTGGTAGGAATCAGCCCCTAACCAGCCTACACAAATGACAAAACGACACCCATGACCCATGGGCCATCAAGCATTTATCAACTTACCTGGGACATTTACAGAGGGATCAGCCGAAGAATAAGGGTTAAACATCCCGCGAATGCCTCCTTGTTTAGATTCCATTGCCATTTTAGGTTATTTTCATAAATCTGTAGTAATTGTCACCACATCAGGCAAACGCCAGCACCAAAAGAAATAAACGTAATACACGGTCACGTTTTCCACAACCAAATGTTATTTGATAGCGCAATATTCTGGAAAGAAATCTCTTGGGCTTATTACGTCATTTTCTTACAATCATTTCATTGGCAGTGAGATACTAATGATTCTATGTAAATGATGCTAATTTCTTAAGAGCTTATGTGCAGCTTCGAAAAATGTAACTGCAAAAAAAAAAAAACAGATCAATTTTAAGATGCCAAACGTATCATTTAACCAGGAAATTGCGTTTTAGCAAAAAATTGTGTTCATTTGAATTGACGTCATTGATAATCACTTTCTAGTGTTGAAATTAGTCAAATTTACGTCCATTGAAAATCAGGTTATGAATTAGAAGAAAAAGTACGCTGTCATAAAGTACTGCACCCTTTTATTCGAATTCACGGTATTGGTACACTCGGGGGCAGATTGATGTTCCACAACTCTTTATCCACCGGGTTCCTATGGCTCAGCATTGGCAGCAGCCGCCTGGTACCGGTAGACTGTGCCGCTTCACTTACTTGTCAAGCGGCACAGCCTACCCACACCGTATGCCACCGGTCTGGGTCGGTGGCTGTAAGGCGATGTGGGCCGCCTGTGACGTCAGCGCAGCGGTGAGGGCCGAGCCCGGAGGCATGGCTCGGGTCGGCGCGGCGCGGCGTCTGGCGAGGGCTGGGGAGTGAGGTGGGGTGGGAGCACGGACCATCGCGCGGCTGAGCGAGTGTAGTTAACACGCGCAGTGGAAGGGGGGGGGGCGGATTTCGCCCACCCCTCCTGTTTTTCGCCAATAACTGGCGCCGCAATCAAAATATTAATGTGAAATTTTGGCTACCTGCCCAGAATTGAATTGCTGATCTTCTCGTGCAAGAAATAAGAAAATCGGTTCACAACTTTTCTAGTGAGAGCGATGTAAAGTCAAACATCCTGCCGCCGCGGCGCCGCGGCGGCGCGGCGGCCGGCGCTAGCCGTTACGCGCCGCCTGAATTGTAGACTGTGCCGGGGCGGGACGGTTCCGTCTTTACATCGCGCTCCTTACCGCTGATTATATTAGATTCACGTCAAATTTGGTGAGAAGACTGAGAAATGTACAGAGAATCATATGGTCAAAGAATTTTGAAAATCGGCCGGTAACAACTTGAGTTATGAGTGTGTAAACACAAAATTGTGATTGCCGCGTTTCCCGCGTCGGCCGATCCCGCTTCAGCCGGCGACATCTTACCCTTAGCAGGCTTCTAACTGCCATATTTATTGTTGGATTAACTAGAAATTCATCTTACATACTCACAAATGTTTGGTCTTTCGTATGGTGAAAGAAAAAAGAAAATCGGCCGGTAACTTTTTGAGTTATCGGCGTGTAAACGCAAAAAAGTCGCTCATATGGCAGATTTGACCACATTTGACCTCATTTGACCTTGAAGATATTGACCTAGGGTCATGAAATTCACACACAACAGAGTTCCCCATGGCCCCCACCTACCCTCCAAATTTCGTCTTTCTAGCTCCAGTGGGAGCTGAGATCTTAGGGGGGGGGGGCGACATCCGCCCCCCCCTTCCACTGGGCGTAGTACTGGCAACCCTTCCACTGCGCGTGTTAACTTTCGCGTCTCAAGGCGCCAATTATTCTACCTAACAATTGTGCTAAAGCAGTTGTTAAAATGTCCTATCCCCAAGACAGCGCCTATCATCATACTTGCCATGCACATTACGACACACTTAAACGTGACATTGGGACAGCCGATAGAATTTATATCACACGTGCATCGAGTTGCGGAGCTACATTGTTTTTAACAGATATGTATTAAGGCCTTGATTGAGCTCATTGGTGTCTATTATTTCGCACATCAATCGTCCAGAGACGTGGGAACTGGGGTTTTTGGATAGCGCGGCGTCCCAACTCTTATGTTCCTCTAATGTGTGGTCGCAGCCACCAATAGCAAACCGTTCCATCTAGGAAAAATAAGTCGCGCACCTGGGACGGTTCGAACCGGGTTTCTCCAACCGGTCACCCCACGACGCTAGCGTGTATCCACTGAGCTGCCGAAACCAGCGACCACCCGCCGCGGTCAAACGCGATCAAATGTCACAATACTGTCATTGGCGGTCAGCGGGTGAATGTGATTTTGTTTTGTGCGGACGAGGATCATTCTCGGTAGCTCAGTGGATGAACGCTCGTGTCGTGAATTGGCCGGTGGGAGAAGCCCGGTTCGAACCCCCCTGAGTGGCCGACTTTTTGGCTCCTAGTTGGAATGGTTTGCTATTGGAGGCTGCGAACACATATTAGAGCAACAGTAATAATCGCTTTAAATTGGAGCGTTGGCTGCGGCACTACTCATAACCCCCAGTTCCCACGTCTCTGGACGATTGCCGTGCGAAACAATAGACACCAATCTGCTCAATCAAGGCCTTAATACTAATATAGCTCCGCACCTCGATGCACGAGTGACAATTGACATAAGTTCTATCGGCTGTCCCATTGCCACGCTTAAGTGTGTCGTAATGTGCATGGCAAGTATGATGATAGGCGCTGTCTTGGGGATAGGACATTTTAACAACTGCTTTAGCACAATTGTTAGGTAGAATAATTGGCGCCTTGAGATGCGAAAGTTAACTACACTCGCTCAGCCACGCGATGTCCGTGCTCCCACCCCACCTCACTCCCCAGTCCTCGCCAGCCGCCGCGCCGCGCCGACCCGAGCCATGCCTCCGGGCTCGGCCCTCACCGCTGCGCTGACGTCACAGGCGGCCCACATCGCCTTCCAGCCACCGACCCAGACCGGTGTCATACAGGTGGGTAGGCTGTGCCGCTTGACAAGTAAGTGAAGCGGCACAGTCTACCGGTACCAGGCGGCTGCTGCCAATGCTGAGCCATAGGAACCCGGTGGATAAAGAGTTGTGGAACATCAATCTGCCCCCGAGTGTACATACCGTACATACATATCAAGGCTATGTAACCCATAGGCCATACATACACGCATACATACACACATACCTATTCTCTGGCCCGCGCACGCCTGCAGACGGGTTTCCGCATAGTTCGCCTTCATCCCCTTGACGCTACTCTTCAAAGTCAGAGTCGTTATCCGTTTTTCACCGGCGCTGCCAGCGCACTTCGCGAGCCAACGTCACAGGTTGTGGTAGTGAGGGAACTACGAGGTTGTTGATGTCTTCATGGAAACCGAATTTGCCACGTATGCTAGCAGCGTGCCGTGAAACACCTCACAAATATCACATTTCGAAAACATCCATGGCCATTTTTAGAAGCATCTCATCCCAAACCAGAAGTATACGAAAATTATTGTATTAAGATATATCTTGGCTGTGCACTATACAAAGTTTTGTACACTGACTTTTCAGTCGATCGTAGGCCGTGAAAACAAAAGCTCATGAGCGCGCGGCGTTACCCCCAACGTGTCGTACCTACCAAACAGGCGATGCGATGATCACAGCCAACCACACGAGCATGCAGACACACACCCACTGCACGCACGAACCGATAAAAAGTGCGCGGCCGTCACAGGCACAGCCGGTCGGCCAGGGAGCGGCGGAAGGCGCTGTCCACCTCCCGGTACTCGCGGAGCGCCGGCGCGATCCGCTTGTGGAAGCGCTCTTTCAAAGACTGCCAGCTCCTGGTGGGCCGGCCGGGCCTGGCCAGCGCCGCGGCCATCTCCTGCCACAGCGCGCGGCCCGAGACGCCGAGCGCGCGGCGCGGCTCCTCCTGCAGGTACCGCAGCATGGCCAGGTCCTCGGCGCGCGTGTAGGGCCGCGCCGGCGCGCCGCGGCGGCCCGGCCCGGCCGGCCGGCGCAGCGCGCGGCACAGCTGGCGCCGCTGGCTCTCGGTCAGCCGGGCGCTGTTGCGGAGCCGCGGCGCCATCCGGCGCCAGTGCTCCTTCAGGGACTGCCAGGAGCGGCCCGGCAGCACGCCGCTGTCCTGCAGCCGCTCCCAGACGCGTCGGCCGCCCAGCAGGCCGCCGGCCGCCTGCTCGGCCAGCACCCGGCGCAGCAGCACCTCCTCCTCGGCCCACGAGTACGCCTGCCGCTCGCGCCGCGACCGCGCAGACGAATCAGCGTCGCCGCCGTAATCGGAGGAGCTCAGCCGGCGACTTCTCCGCGCCGGCCGAGACGGGTCCGGGCTGGCGGCGCCGTCGGAGGAGCTCAGCCGGCGACTTCTCCGCGCCGGCCGAGACGGGTCCGGGCTGGCAGCGCTGTCGGGGGAGCTCGGCCGGCGACTTCTCCGAGACGGGTCCGGGCTGGCGGCGCCGTCGGAGGAGCTCAGCCGGCGACTTCGCGCCGGGTCCGGGCTGGCGGCGCTGTCGGAGGAGCCCAGTCGGCGTGAACGCCGCGCCGGGTCCGGGCTGGCGGCGCTGTCGGAGGAGCTCAGCCGGCGACTTCTCCGCGCCGGTCTCAGGCCGGACGGGCCGGGCTGGGCAGACCGCTCGCCGTCCAGCCGTGTCGCCTTCCTGGGCGGCGGCTGGAAGTCGTCCGAGCTCGACGCCGAGCTCCCTGAGCCACTGGCCGAGCGCAGCCGGCGCCCGGCGGCCGCGCGCTCCGGGTACTCCTCCGGCAGCGGCGGGTGGCTGTAGAGCCGGCGGCCCCGGCGGCCCGCGTCGCGCGCCCGCCGGCTGGGGGAGCCTGCCGTCGGCTCTCCGCCGGGCTCCGGTCGGCGGGCGGCGCGCGGGGAGCCGCCCTCACCCGCCCGGCGGCGCATTCGGAAGCTGCGCAGCCGGCGCGTGGTGTCTGTCCGCTGTGCGTCCGCCGCGTGGCTCGGCCCGGCTGCGTCTGAATCGGACAACGCCGACTGGAACGCCGGCGAGAGGGAGCGCCGGGAGTCGCCGAGCGCCGGCTCCGGCTCCGGCTCCGGGGCCAGCTCCGGGGAGAGCTGCGGGCTCCCAGCGGCGGCTCCGGCGGCTGGCGGCCGGCGGCGGCGCCTGGTGTGGCGCGACAGTATCGGCGAATAGGAGGGCCGCGCGGCGCCGCCGCTCCAGCGCGCCGCCATAACCTGCTGCACGGCTGCCGGGATACGTACCGTCTCATCGCTGTCGCCACAAGACGAGCACTCCGATGGGCTGGTCGGCGGGACAAAGTCCGACTCGTCACCTAACGCGGCCGGGGCTGTCGTCAAATCAGCGCCCTCGGCGGCCGGCTCAGCACCCTCAGCACCGGGGGCCGTCTCCAGCTCAGCACCCTCGGCACTGGAGACCGTCTCCAGGTCAGCACCCTCGGCACAGGGGGCCGTCTCCAGGTCAGCACCCTCGACACTGGGGGCCATCTCCAGTTCAGCACCCTCGGCACTGGGGGCCGTCTCCAGTTCAGCACCCTCGGCACTGGGGGCCGTCTCCAGTTCAGCACCCTCGGCACAGGGGGCCGTCTCCAGGTCAGCACCCTCGACACTGGGGGCCATCTCCAGTTCAGCACCCTCGGCACTGGGGGCCGTCTCCAGTTCAGCACCCTCGGCACTGGGGGCCGTCTCCAGTTCAGCACCCTCAGAACTGGGGGCCGTCTCCAGTTCAGCACCCTCAGCACTGGGGGCCGTCTCCAGTTCAGCACCCTCGGCACTGGGGGCCGTCTCCAGTTCAGCACCCTCAGAACTGGGGGCCGTCTCCAGGTCAGCACCCTCGGCACTGGGGGCCGTCTCCAGTTCAGCACCCTCGGCACTGGGGGATATCTCCAGTTCAGCACCTTCAGCACTGGGGGCAGTCTCCAGTTCAGCACCCTCAGCACTGGGGGCCGTCTCCAGCACCGTGCTCACAGCGGCCGTTTCAGCGGCAGAAGCGGCTTCGGAGCCGGCGGGAGTGTCGGCCGGGGCGGCGGTGGCGCGGCCCGGCTCGCTCTCCGAGTCGGTGACGCAGAGCAGGTCGTCGGCGCTGGTGTCGGAGTCGCCGGCGGAGCTGGGCCGCTGCCGGAGCCGCCGCTGCCGCTGCCGGCTGTCGTCCCGCTCGCGCTGCTCCACGGCACGCCGCTCGTCCTCAGTGAGCGCCAGACGCGTGGCCGTGGCTTCGGCCGCCCGCGCCACCAGGTGCACCGGCACCGTCGACTTGAAGTCGGCCAGCCGCGGCCTCACCTGCCGAGCGCCCGAGACGCCGCCGTCGGAACCGGGTCAGAGAGCGGCCGCGTCAGATCACCAGCACACCACACACACACACATCGGGTAACATAGAGTCGCTGCAGCAAAAGCCTTACAGAAGCGGCGGTCCCTTATCCCGGGTTAATAAAGAATCCCTTTGGGCTATCAGCATTCAGCTCCCATGACTGGTCACAGCCTGCCCCACTCTCATGGTATTTCTGCTGTCCATCTGCCCCACACCTAGCGTTCCGGCAGTGTTACCGCCGTGCACCCGTCCCACCTGTTTGATGAAGTGGGTGTGCAGCGACAGTGGCGGATGGTCGGCCAGCAGCGCCGGCAGCAGGAACGCCTTCAGGTGCCAGAACTTGGGCGCCGTCGGCGGCGCGTAGCGCTGGCAGCCGTGCTCGGCCACGAAGCGCACCAGCGCCTCGTCCTTCTCGCGGCTGAAGCGGAGCCGGCCGCGGTAGGGCGCGGCGCCGCGGCCCGGCTCCCCGGCGGCCGTCAGCAGCCGCAGCTCGTCGTCCGAGTCGGAGTCGGGCAGCGCCGTCACCACGGCCAGGTCGGAGCGGGCGCAGCGTCCCAGCAGCACGGCGTTCACCTGGCCCGGCCGGCTGTACAGCGAGGTGGGCTGCAGCCGGAACGGGCACAGACTCACCACCCGGCCGCGGCGCACACACTCGTCCAGGAACCTGCCCGGGCACACAGACAGGCTCAGCACACAGGGAGCGGGCACAGGCTCACCACCCGGCCGCGGCGCACACACTCGTCCAGGAACCTGTCCGGGCACACAGACAGACAGGCTCAGCACACAGGGAACGGGCACAGGCTCACCACCCGGCCGCGGCGCACACCTCGTCCAGGAACCTGCCCGGGCACACAGACAGGCTCAGCACACAGGGAACGGGCACAGGCTCACCACCCGGCCGCGGCGCACACACTCGTCCAGGAACCTGCCCGGGCACACAGACAGACAGGCTCAGCACACAGGGAACGGACACACAGACCGGACACAGAGCGGCTCGGCGCCCGGCCTGCTGAAGGATCAGTCCCTCCCTCCCCGTCCCTCCTTCACTCACTGGCGCTGAGGGCCCCTCCCATCCCTCCTCTAACCCAATGGCTGTTGAGTGTCCCTCCTTCACTCACTGGCGCTGAGGGCCCCTCCCGTCCCTCCTCTAACCCAATGACTGCTGAGGGTCCCTCCCGTCCCTCCTCCAACTCACTGGGTGCTGAGGGTCCTTCCTGTCCCTCCTCTAACCCAATGGCTGCTGAGTGTCCCTCCTCTCACTCACTGGCTGCTGAAGGTCCCTGCTCCACTCACTGGGTGCTGAGGGCCCCTCCTCCAACTCACTGCCTGCTGAGGGCCCTGCTCCACTCACTGGGTGCTGAGGGTCACTCCCGTCCCTCCTCCAACTCACTGGGTGCTGAGGGCCCCTCCCGCCCCTCCTCTCACTCACTAGCTGCTGAGGGTCCCTCCCGTCCCTCTAACTCTCTGACTGCTGAGGGCCCCTCCCGTCCCTCCTCTAACTCTCTGACTGCTGAGGGCCCCTCCCACCCCTCCTCTCACTCACTGGGTGCTGAGGGCCCCTCCCGCCCCTCCTCTCACTCACTGGGTGCTGAAGGTGTCGGGCCGGTCGGAGACGGCCGGCCGCGGCTGCGATCCCGGCGTGCCGGCGCCCAGAGTGACTGCGTGCGGACAGCGCGCCGGGTTGGCCACCAGCGCGCCGCCGTGGTCCTCCACCAGCGCCTGCAGCCGGCAGCGCTCCGGGCGCGGCAGGCCCGCCAGCAGGTGGAACTCCATCGGCTCGGCATCGTCCGGCCGCACAAACAGCTGCGAGAGCCGCGAGGGCGGCACCATCGCCGCAGAGCTGAGAGACACAGGGGGTCAGTACTCAGTATCCACAGCGCTGAAGGACACAGGGGGTCAGTCAGTCTCAGTATCCACAGCGCTGAGGGACACAGGGGGTCAGTATCCACAGCGCTGTCAAAATTATTCTAAGACTACACATAAATACATCTGTTGATGCCTATACAACGGATCCGAGTCGATCAGCTCAGGGGTATTGACTATTAAGTGCAGGCGACGGGTGTGGGGCCACGTTTTCAGTGGGTCGGTGGAGTTCTGCTGTTTGTTAGTTCTGGGATGCGTCAGCAGCAGAGCCGTTATGCGCCCAACGGACAATACAGTCCACGACGAAGGGGTTCCCGAATACAGAGACAATAAGCTCGCGGTGGACGCCGTGTCACGCTGCTCCCACACGGGCTCTACGTGACGCATGGCTGAGGGGGTGTCTCATCGACTCCGAGCCCGGCCAGCGGGCCTAACGGCCGAGTGAGACGCAGCAAGATGTCTCGTCTCGGCGCCCGGCTCGATCGATCAGGGAAGGAGCAGGCATAAGCTCACAGATGCTATAAAGGTGCTATTGAGCGGCACACAATGGCCGCAGCTGCGTCAGAGGACATATGGTAGTGCATAGCCATACACATAGGGATCGGGCAACCTTTGAGAAGCATGACATTCTGGATGTGTCGAAGACCGGAGCTCAAGACACTGTTCGCTGAGACCATGGTTCCTTGATTGGGAATCTGCCGTGCCCACATGGCATCTCAACAACAAACGCGCCAGCCTCAGTAAGAGCCAAGAGGGAAGGCCAGCCCTTCTCATAGGCCTCGCGTGGGTGCCTGTGCTGAAGGAAGTGGTGCCATCTGTCCAGGACGCGGTCAGAAACCCCGCCCTAGCCGATCGGGGAGAGTGGTGGTCGCGCGCCTACCACTGAACAAGGCAGCCGAGCAGAACTTAACAGCGGTGACACAAACATTTCATCTGTTCAGGTATGAAATGTTTCAGGTACCTCGTATGAAATAAAATGTTATGAGATGTCTCTTATGAGATGTCTGCTCTCTTTTTCTCCAGCTTCAAGTGGTGTCCCCTGGTCCTTGTGTTATCTTGTAGTTTGAACAGCTTCGTGGGGTCGATATCTAACTTGTTGGTAAGAATCTTGTAGGTTTCTTACTTACTTACTTACTTACTTACGAAGTACAGAATTTGGATAGGCCAGACTAGGCCTTTAGAAACCTTTCTAGTCGAGCTCCTCGTGCGTCTGACTATTCATCTGCGTGAGGGATGTCGTGTGCATGGTGTGCCCAGTGAGCGTCAAGCCGGTTTTTGAATTGGTTCAGGGTGTCGGATGCGACGACCACTGACGGTAGGCTGTTCCAGTCGTTGATGACCCGGATGGAGAACGCGTTGCGCCGAATCCTGGAGACCGCTCGCGGCTTGGCTAGTCTCCATTGGTGTCCTCTTGTAGCAGGAGTTCTGTCGGCTGCCATCTCTGTAGTGACCGTAGCCTATGGGTACCGTCGTACTGAGTACCGAGTACTCGTTTCTCTATTGTGTCGTTTCTCGTCCGCCACTATCGGAAATAAACAGTCTCCATCTTGGACAAATCGTGGCGTGTCGTGGCCCGGACCGTTCGACGGAATTACACACCCAGGACACTATATTGTGGCGACGAGTGGATACTTTTCGAACTTTTCACGTAATGTCGAGCGCGTGTGTTATATTTTCGTCAGTTTTCTTGTATTCGGCGACGCAATGAGCGCCTTCGACGGCGGAGTGCCACTCCCCGCGCCGTTCCTGCCGCACCCTGGTGCGCCGCAAACGCCGTGGGCGACGTGGGAGCGGCGGTTCGGGAACTACTTAATTGCTCGCAGTGGCGACACCCCTCTACCAGCGGCCCAGAGACGTGCACTGCTACTCTGTGCAATCGGAGATGAGGCATATCGCGTTTATGAAAACTTGCCGACGCGGTGAAGGACGAGAACGAGGACGACTATGACGTCACCATTCGCCAACTACGCAACCACTACGAACCCAAGACCAACGTCATCGTAGAACGGTTCCAGTTTCGGCAGAGAGGCCAGCAGTCACATGAGTCTACGGCAGACTACGCTGCAGTTCTGCATGGACTTGCCAAGAAGTGCAACTTCGGAGCGATGGAGGACGAGCTGATCAGGGACCAAATTGTGGAGAAGACCCCTCACAATGCTCTGCGTCAGCGCCTTCTGCAGGAGCATGACCTAACACTGCCGAAGCTGCTCGGCATGGCAGAGGCTCATGAGCAGGCTCTGCAGCAGGCCGCTACTATTCAGCATGGTGTTGTCGCCGCTCCACCTGTTCCCGCTGTCGCAAAGGTGGAGACACGTAAAGGACATCAGCAACCTGCCCAGACCGTCAGCACCCCGTGCACCAACTGTGGACGTCACGATCACCCTGTCCGTGATCCCAGCTGCCCAGCCAGGCACATCGTCTGCCACATCTGCAACCGCCAGGGACACTTCGCTGCCTGGTGTCGCAGTCGCGACAACCCAGAACCCAGGGGTGGAGGTTCAAAACCCAAGAAACCAGGTCCTCGTGGCGGCAGATCTGGGTCCAGCCGTTCCAGACCACAAGCTGTCAGAGAACTGCACGTTCTGGCTTGTGAACAGGGCAAGTCAACGAAGCTGTCGTGTCCAGTGACCATCACAGCCGGTGACATCACACGTGAGGGTGTGCATCTTCAAGTGGATACAGGTGCCACCTGTTCGCTTCTAAGCCTGCAGCGTGCCAAGCAGCTGTTCAAGGGTGTCAGCTACGAGCCTACTTCTGCTAACCTGTACGGTTTCGGCCACAACCCCATTCAAGTTCATGGCACCCTCCCTGCCATCATCAGCTACAACGAGCGCAAGGTCGACGCATCATTCTACCTGGTGGACACGCCCCGCCTGGAGGCCATCATGGGTATGGATGTGCTGAGTGCCCTGGGATTAACTCTGCACCCAGCTTCGCACACCATCTTCGATCTGGATGAGCAGACCTCTGCGTCAGAGGAGCAACTTCATCTCCCAGCTATCGACGGATACGCTCACAGGATCCAGCTGAAGCCTGACGCTGTGCCTAAAGCGTTCAAGCTTCGTCGTCTGCCTCTCTCAGTCCGGGAGGAGGTGTCAGCCGAACTCAATCGACTTCTCCGAGCTGACGTCATCGAACGAGCAGACGCGTCTCAGTGGGTCAGCCCACTGGCTGTCACTCGCAAGAAGGATGGCAAACTCCGCATCTGCACTGATCTTCGATGGCCAAACTCTCAGATCATCGCAGAGGTACATCCACTTCCCACCATAGATGACCTGGAGCGGAACCTACGAGGCACCGTCTACAGCAGGATAGACCTGAAGTCCGCGTACTTCCAACTCTGCCTGCATGAAGATTCCCGAGACATCACTGCATTCCTCACCATGGACGGCCTCTTCCGCTGGAAACGAGTTCCCATGGGTCTCGTCAGTTCTGGCTCTGCGTTCCAGAAGCTCCTGGACCAAGTCCTGGACGGGATCGCAGGATGTGGTCACTACCTCGACGACATCTTGGTGTCCGGGCGCACTCAGTCCGAGCACGATGCCCGCCTGCATGCCGTCCTGGCCCGGCTTCGCGCAGCTCGCATCACAGTGAACATGCAGAAGTCCGTCTTCTCCCAGCCTGAGGTCGACTTCTGTGGTCACCGCCTGACGAAGCACGGAGTCGCACCTCTGCAGTCAGCAATCAGGGCTGTGGTGGGTGCACCACACCCCACCGACCTCAAGGAGCTACGGAGCTTCATCGGCACCACCGCCTGGTTCAGCAGGTTCATCCCCGCCTACTCCACGGTGGTCCAGCCGCTGACTGTGATGTTGAAGAAGGACGTCCCCTTCGAGTGGGGCCCAGCCGCGGAACACGCCTTCAACAGCGTCAAGAGCCTGATCTCCTCCAGTCCGGTGATGATGCCGTTCTCGCCGGCACTGGACACCATCGTCACCACGGACGCCAGTGACCGTGGTGCAGGCGCCGTCCTGACTCAGATCCAGGCGGACGGACAGGAGCGCCCAGTGGCCTACTGGTCACGTTCCTTCACAGATGCTGAAGCGAAGTACTCAGTCTCCGAGAAAGAAGCGCTGAGTGCTGTGAATGCCATCGAGCACTGGCGGATCTACCTCTGGGGCCGCCACTTCACCCTACGAACCGACCACTCCGCGCTGACAACGCTGCTGTCGCCTCAGTCAGCCAACCGCGCAGGAGCTCGGATCGCCAGATGGCAGTCACGACTGATGTCGTACTCTTATACCGTCCAGTACAAGCCTGGCCACAGTATCCCGGTCGCGGACACTCTCTCGCGACTACCGCTCCCAGACACCACTGCCGCTGAGACTGACAGTGACGATGTCGTCGCACTCGTCACTGATGCCGCTGCCGACGTCCTCACGGAGGAGGACATCCGAGCCGCTTCAGCCGCCGACCCGGTGATGGAGAAGCTGCGTTCTACAATCCGCTTCGGCTGGCCCGACACGACTCGCAAGTGCGCGCCGGACCTTCGCGATTACTTCGCCGTGCGCCACGAACTCCAGTGCAGAGAAGATGGCATCGTCATGCGCGGACCTGAACGGGTCGTCGTCCCCGAGACGCTGCGCAGCAGGTACCTGGAGCTGGCACACGCCGGTCACCAAGGCGTTGTCCGGTCGAAACAACTCCTGAGAGACCTGGCGTGGTGGCCCGGCATGGCGACTGCTGCTGCCGCTCTCGTGAAGAACTGCCACGTGTGCTGTTCAAAGGACTCGGTGCTCGCCCAGCAGGCGCGACCAGCACCACTACAGCCCGTCCAGCTGCCTGACCGACCATGGTCCAAGCTCGGTATTGACATCGTGGGACCCATCTCCGCAGCGCCTCCTGCCGCACGGTTCGCGATCGTCGTTACCGATTACTACAGCAAGTGGCCAGAGATAGCTCTGACATCCACAGTCGAAACTGATGACATCATCAGGATGCTCAGCGCTCTCTGGGCTCGAGAAGGTTTCTGCGATGAAATCATCAGTGACAACGGTCCACAGTTCTCAAGTGAGAAGTTCCGCACGTACCTGCAGCGTCGCGGCATCACGCACCACCGGTCATCACTCTACTGGCCGCGTGGCAACGCTGCAGTCGAGCGGCTAAATCGAGAAGTCAAGAGCTGGCTGCAGGAAGCCGCCCAGTTGAGGCTCAGGACAGCAGACTCCTTCTCCAACCACGTCACACAGCGACTCGCGCTGTATCGGACGACCCCCCACTGTAGCACCGGTGAGGCGCCGTCAGTACTGCTGCATGGACGCCGGATGCGTCTGAATCTACCAGTCGTAGAGGAAGCAGCACATGACAAGAGGATTTCCGACCGTGTCGCCAAACAACAGCGCCGAAACAAACGGAACTACGCCGCACGTAAAGGTGTGAAGCGGCCTGGTCTGCGGCCGGGGGACCTGGTCCGTGTGAAGAAGCCAGGACACGTCCCGAAGGATCAAAGTCGATTCTCGGCTCCAGTCCCAGTCACCCAGCAGCTCGGCCCAGCAACCTACCTGCTGGCTGACGGCACCAGAAGGAACGCGGCTCACCTGGCTAGCGTGCCTAGTGGCAGCCAGGATGGAACCGGACCTGCCACACCGCCGTCAGGCACAGCCGGACCCGTCACTCCGCTGCTGTCTCAGCCGCCGACTCAGCGGTCACCGACTCTACTCCGGGACCAGCCGCCAGCGCCACCGCCGGAGACAGCACCGCCATCTACAGGACGAACAACGCCCCCGCGATCACAGCCAGCCACCGCCGGCGCTGATAGCGCGGACCGTGCCGTGCCTGACTCTGATCTGGCTGAACACGAGCTGCCGAGATCGTCGTTCGGTCGCCGTCGGTTCGTGCCTGTGAGGCTGCGCTGATTGTATTTTCAGAACCA